AGCGTACTTGAAATGTAGGATTCATATTACGTACATCAGACATTCGACGTCCGACATCAATATATCAATATAATTCTTCTCACACTTAACTGTGATTGGCCAATTTCTTAACGGCTTACGACTTGCGATCCTATTGTAAAACAGGCATTAGTCCGGATCTACAATAGGTGTTTTGAGCCTTGTCTACAGTAGTCGCAGAAGCTATGTCGCATGTCATATAAAATGTTGTAGAAGTGTCGCATATAATTGCATGATTGTTGTAATTGCAAGAGCTCTTGTCGTACGGAGTTGAGCCAAGTTCAACTTTCTGCGACAAGCGTGTCGCATGAGCTCGGCCAATCACAGCATAGCAAGTTTAGAATTTGTGTTGAATTGCGTGCAAGCAATCGTGACTATTGTAGACGCTCATTTAGCGACACTCTTGTGGCATGTGACAAATTTTCCTGCGATGCTACTACTCGCGACACAATCTGTGCGACTATTGTAAACGAGGCTTTAAAGGCTCGTATCGACGCGGCTTTAAGGGCTACGCATGACGCGTATCGCTGTACGCGCGTATTTGCGTATCGAAGGATCCAACCAATCACTGACTATTTGCCGTTTTACGTACGCGACAATTGTGTCGTTAATGTCCCATGAAGCGATTTGTGCATAAGCGGATTAGCGGATCGCAAATCATAAAATTGTTCTATTAGATTTGCTTGCAATTTTGCAAGAATCATGGTGGAAGGATACTAGGAGAAGTATTACGCACGTAGTGGAAGGGGGGAAGGAAGCGACCAATAGCAATTTGTCCTGGAATTGCGCGTGTATTTTGAACGTTCAGAAGAGTTAGGAAATAGACTACGCATTGAAGAATGAGATTGAAGATTGAAAGATCGAGTTTGATCAATCAGAACAAAAGATGCCAAAATTTCTTTGTCTTTATTAATGAAATTTCAATCTTTAATGTTTAATTTCAATCTTCAATGCATAATCTGATTCCGGCCTTAGAATATAAAAATAATAATTTACTATGAAATAGCTGCTATGAAGGGTTTTTCTGTTTAAATAAACTGTAGACATGAGTTTGTACACAAATGTCTTTCGGAATATGTCATATGTAATTCCCACAAAAAAAGTTGTTAACAAAGTACTTTTTTGAACATGTTTGTGCATGTGATGAAAAAGTAAATAAATGTAATGAAAAAAAATGAGCAGATTGGTTATGAAATCAAATGTTCAGAACAAAAGAGATATTTAACACAGATAGATATTTAACACAGAACAAAAGAGATATTTAACACAGAAGAAGATATTTGACACAGAAAATGTTAAAAATAAGTTTCAACAACTATTGACACACTTTTTCGGAAACAATGGTTTCTGTAGACAATTAAAGCGAACAACCTTTGTATTGTTTGCAAAATGGAAAAAAACGAGTTTCGTGCAGTGATCAAACATCTACATATAAAAGGTTTAACGCCAAAAGAAATCAAAGCCGAGTTAGATAATGTTCATAGCACATCTGCGCCAGCGTTTGCGACTGTATAATTGAATGAATTTAAACGTGGTCGTACATCCATGTGATGCATCTCGTTCAGGACGTCCAATTGAGGCTGCTACGCCAGAAATTATTGATAAAATCCACAATATTGTTTTGACTGATGAAAGTCTCGACGAGTGAAAGTGCGCGAGTTTGTTGAGGTCACAGGCACAGTGATTTCAATTTTACACGAACAATTGGGTATGAAAAAGCTATCAGCAAGATGGGTGCCGCGTTTACTCACTGTGGACCATAAGCGCGATGATTTCAAAACAATGTTTGAAGATGTTTCAACGTAATCCAGATGAATTTTTCTGCGTCGATTCATTATTGTGGTCGAGAAACATGGATCCATTACTTCACATCCGAGACGAAGGAACAGTCAAAACAATGGACTTCACCGGGTGAACCAGCTCCGAAGAAGTCGCCGGAAAGGTGATGGCTACAGTTTTTTGGGATGCACGCGGTGTAATATTCATATCGATTACCTTCCGTCAAAGCAAATGATCAATGGCGATTACTACGCAGCTTTATTGGTTTCAACAACATTTTAAAGAAAAAACGTCTCCATTTGGCAAAGAAGAAAGCGCTCTTCCATCAAGACAATGCACGGGTTCACACGTGCACGGCGCCAAATTCAACGAATTCCGCTATGAATTGTTTGCCCATCCAATATATTCGCCAGATTCAGCCCCCTGCGACTATTTCCTGTTTCCAAACCTGAAGAAATGGTTCGGAGGAAAGAGATTCACCACCAGAGAGCAGCTTATCTGCGAAATAGAGGTTTATTTTGAAGGATTGGACAAATCATATTATTCGGACGGCTTGAAAAAGTTAGAGAATCGTTGGATCAAATATATCGAGCTGAAAAGAGACTATGTTGAGAAATGAAAATGAATCGATCAACAAAAATGTGTTTTACTATGTTTTTCTAAAAACTTATTGACTTGCCCTCGTATTATATAGTTAAAAATATACTATATTAGTTCATTATTTAATGAATTTATTATTATTTACATAAGTAATATTTTTTATCGTTGTAATAAATATACTATTAAAATTTTTTAATATTGTCAATATTTAACTATATAAACTATATTGAATAACTGATAACCGTAAATTAATCAACAATTATTGACAACAAAATCTAAGATCTTGTGCGCGTATTTCGTAAGGCCACCATGGTTTATAAACGTGTCCATCGGCTTCTTTGCTAGCCATATACGTGAAAAAAGTTCTTTTGAACGACGCGGAAGGGAATTTTCCTTGCTCCATGGTACTCCATATCATACGAGCATAAGCAACGCGTATTTTACGTACTTCATTGCGGAATACTTCTTTGATCTTTTCAATCTTGAGAGAAATATAGATTATAATAATTAATTATTTTAAAATAAAATATAAAAAATTACTTTAAATCTTAAATGTTTAAGAAATTAATATCGAATGTTACCTATTAAAGATAAAAAAAAGAAAATTAAAAAATCAAGGGTACAAATTTAACGTATGTATGTGACTTTTGTATTTAAATTTGCAAATAATGACAATTTGATAATCTACCTTTTTCTTGGTTCTCTCGACTTGATCGAAGGTTACTCTCTCCAATTGATGTTTCGCTATGTGCAATGATTTCCATAGTTTCACAGAATTCCACATTTTTTTAGTTGTTAGTTTCCATATGGCACGGGTATCTTCCATCAAATTTTCTAATAAGGAAAAAATTAAATAAATAAAAAATAAATTGGAAGTTAAAAACCTAATTAAAAATAAAAAAACAATTAATTCTGCCATTAAAGTTATACTTTTGTCTGTTTCCGAGAAAACAACACCCTGCCTGTACATGACCCAATCCTGAAGCTGCGGCATTAGATAACATTTCGGTAACTTGGCGAATGTATAACCTTCTGCAGCCATTTTCTTCAATTCGACCTAATATTTTATATATCTATATTCAATATTAATAGAGGAAAGATTTCTATTATAAGATATCGAGTTTATTTTAGGTAAATGCTAGAAATCTATAGGCAGAATTAAAAAAAATAATAGGTCATTTTGAAGGGAATTTATAATAAGCTTTAAGGAGTAACACTTATGTAATCGGTTGTAAATAAGGTCTATTTTTGGGAATTTTTTTTGGTTTAATGAATCATGCTATTAAAAAATGAATTTTAAAACTCTATTAAGCATATAAAAAAATATAAAAAATAATTTTTTCAGAATTTTATTTATCAAAATGGCGGATCTGCAGCAGCGTGAAAGAGACAATTGAATTGGCACGGTATTTTGCGGCTAGCAGCACAAGTGTAATTTTTGGTCTATAACAAAAAAAAAATTTTTTTATTTTCTTTACTTAAATACCTACAAAAATACCGAGCCGTTTTTGAAAAATAGATAACAAGAAGGGGCTACAAGCCAAATTTTTATATATATAATACGAGATGCCCTGAGAAATTGATAATAAAAGGCAAAGTACATCAGTATTACAATTAAAAAATTTGATTTAATATTCCTAAAATACAAACAACCAGTGCGCGTGCAAAATGAGCATGCGATGAATTGTACCTACACTGTTAGAAATGTTCTTAAATTTCATTAATTTGGTTTTAAGTTACACAATTTGAATTTAATTTAATGACATTACATTAAGTTTAATGTATTTATAACTAAAAAGTATTTGCGTACATGTACATAAAATTTAATGTATTTTTCTTGAAAATTTGTGAAATTTAATACTTTTTATGAAATTTAATACTTTTATTAAAAGTACATTAACCCTTCGTTGACATACTGAGTGTGAACCATTTACAAAATTATTTTAACTCTCTGAAACTCAATTTTCTTTTATTTTGTAGAACAAAAATACAATAAAAAAATCTCTGTTTTTTTAATTCCCAAAATAGCTTGCATTTAATATGCAAAATAAATACCATTTATTCAACCAATTTACAAACTAATTTTTTTTTTAAAGTATTATATCTAAACAATTCTGTAAATTTTTAACTTTTAATGAATTTTTTAAAAGTTAATTTTTCAAAGATTTTACTCGTTTTTTTTCTATTCATTAAACTCAAGAATTTTTTTCATAATAAAATTTTAGTTAAAAACTATTTAAATGTATTCTACAGACCTTGAAATTGACCTATAATTTTTTTCATATTGATTGAATTTCTTAAATAAGAATGTCAGTTGTTTAAACATTGCTCCGTGAGCTACCCAGTGTATTAAAAAGTGATCGAAAAAAAGGTGTGTCAACGAAGAGTTAAATTTCATAAATTTAATGTTTATTACATTTATTACGTAACATTACATTTATTAAGTAACTACTCTCTCTCTGTAACTTAATTTTCAGTTAAATCATTCATTATATTTTCGTTTATAACCATGAGCTTCATTTACATGTAAAGGAAACTCGTGGTTACATTTCTAACGGTGTAGGACTCGTCTTCAGGTATTTGGAACTACCTGCATCGCAGAAACAGATACTTGATGTTTGTTCCGTTTGTCTTTTTTATTACAATATTATATATTACAATAATATTTATATTTTAACAACAATTTTCACTATAACATGGGAGCATGAGTTCATATTAGGAATACCTATCTCATATTATGATTTCTACGAATCTTATGGTTTTACGAAATCATCAAATCTAATTTCTATAATTAAACAGTTCAACATATCCCGTATTTTTCTGTTACTGCGACCTTGCTCTATCACTACATAAAGAATTTATTGCCAAATTTATTTATTTATTAAATAACAAACAAGGTTTAAATGCTCATCTCAATAAAACTTAAAGACATCCAAATTCCAAAATCTTGTTTTACAATTATTATAGGCATGATACTAATAATGAATTTTCTACTAAATAATTTTCTATCCAAAAGCAATAAATTCGTAGTGGAAGATAGTGTTTATTAGTTCAGCCGAATACGCCATTATCTCATATTAGTCTATTTCATAATAGGGGGTTTCCTTCTATTATATTTATTCAGGAATAACTCAGTAATTAATATTAATATATGCGAGTTAATTAGTCATCAAATTAAAAAGATTCACGAAAATACCTTCATTATCGCTATAAGTTGATCAAATTTGTATACATATTTCTTATCGCTATCGCCACTTAAGCGATGACTCTTATTGTTAATCTTTTCTTTTGTCTTTTTGATTTGTTTGTGTGATATATTTTGCTGATCGACCTCGATAATAATTTCCTTAGAATATTTATTTTCACGAATTATTTTGCCAGTAGTTTCCTTTGTATTATCTATTCTCTTATCAACTTTTTTAAACAATTCATCTTGGTAATTATGAGTTGTTAAATAAGATGTATCTTGCTCGTCCTTATCCCCGTACATAAACTTTAATGCTTCATCTCTAACTTTCTTTTTACGCTCAATTTCTTCTTTTAAGGCGGTGTTCTTCGTCGGCAACGGACCTGGTGGAATATTCATGGGCGACCAATGTCGATGCAAAACAGCAGTTGGTAAAATATCTTCTTCACTGGATGAGGGTGTTTGGAAGGGCGTAGACATTTTCAGACCGTCAATTATTTTCTGAGGTGGCGACATAGAAATGTCTTCTGTCACACCTGTACAATACTTAATGTCATCTTTCTCGTCCTCGCGCGGGATTCTCTTCACATCTGGTATAATAAACTTTTTATCCTCTATCATCGGTCTTGAGATATCGACAATATGCATGAAAGATTGCTTCTCCAAATTCTTCAATCTTTGTTGACGTGCCTTCCATTTCATTCTTTCTTCATTTCGCTCCACAATTTTTCTTTCATATTTACATTCACACACGGGTTTTACTACCTTCAATTGACGAGGTCTACAATAATTTATATATTTTATAATATACAAAGTCGCTGATATTGATTATGTTTAAATGATATTATATATTAAAAATTAAATATTAAATTACTTGTTTTTATTAAAACAAGTCAAAATTACTAATTATTGAATTTAATTCTGCAAATTGAAAGTATTAGTACGATTAATATAATGAAATATTTAATAACTTTAATAATTATGATTTTGTTAAGCTAATGTTTTTTTTACTAACCTGTAACTTCGAGCAATTTTCTTGCAAGTCGTCGAGCAAGGTATGTTATTGTCGCGCTGCGTAAAATAATTTGTCAGTGCTGCATCCTTCAGAGCTGTCTTCCATCTTTCTTCCGGTGATTTGGATTCCATAAACTTTTTTCTAGTCTCTTCAAGATTTTTTTTCTGTTCGATAAGGTAGTCTTCTTTGATGACGACATTATTACAACAATTGCATGATTTTGGTTTTTTCCGTATTTTTTCTATCAAACTTTTGGGTCCGGAATACTTTTCTATTAGCTTCAACCTTTCATCCATAGCTTTGCTAACACACATGTCGTATGGCGATTCGAGAAGATCATATTCTGGAACATATTCGTCACTTCTTCGGGGACTAATGGGTGGCGTAACGTAAAGGACACCGTCAATTATTCTATTCTCTTCCTTTAATTTATTTTTGCTAGCTGTTCTTTCATCTCTTTTGTTCTCAACCAAACCACTTATATTATACATAAGAATCTTTTTTTTGTTTCTATTTTCTCTACATGGGCAAGATCGTCCTCCAGGACGTACCGCCATTGTTTCTAGAGGATAATCCGGCTCGCAGAGATAGGCCACAGTCTTTTTCGCTGGAAGTTCCTGCTCCGTCTTCGTTCTCCAACCGCAAGGTTCTTTATTGATTCCACGTATCTCTTCTTCGTCATCAATAGTTGAAAAATCTATCTTTTCAGTTTTCTTTTCTGGATTATGTTGACTAATTGCCAATAATTCTTCTGGGAGAACCGCCGGCTGGATATTTCCTAAAATTCCCGCGGAAGATTTGAACATATTCTTTAACCGTGCCATTTCTCGTTTGCGATTTTCAATTTTCTCAGCTTTATTTACTGTATTTTTCTTTTCATTTTTGTTCACAAAACTATGTTCAGTTAGCTTATTAAAACTTTTGTTAGATTGCTCAGTTGGATTGTTATGTAATGCTGATCTCATTTGTTGTTTCTTTTCCGTTTTGGATATTGTCATCGATCCGGAAGTTGTATTCAACAGTTTTGTAT